TTCCTGTTTTGTTGTTACGTTGGCCCAGCTCCCGAAAAGTTCCTCCCACAACGACTTCGTCCGATCACACTTCGGCCGTTTCGAGCGCACGCCCCTAATCAAGGCGTAACTAAGCGTCAATGTAAAATAAATTCTAACCTTAACTTTAACCTTTTTCCGCCTAGGTATTCTACTTTCGCATGTATCTCGGCGTTGTTTTGATCGGCGCGCTGCATGGTCTCGTGTTTCTTCCTGTACTTCTGAGTTACGTGGGTCCGATGACTTTAAAGGCAGTGACGGTGCTGGAATGCGAGTCATCGTTAAGGCCTCATTTCTTAGAGGGCACAACGGATGATGAAAGGAGACCATTGCTCCACCTGATCGCAGTGGAATCCAGTGACCTTGGACTGTTTGATAGAAATTGTCATTGCACATGATATTTTGTCTTTTTATGTTATATTTTAAACCTATTGTAATAACGCAAAATTAATTTATGAATAAGGAAAAAAGTGGCAAATTAATACTGATCCTAAAGCGAAGAAGCTTTTGAGAGCTGTGTTTTGTGAGTGGTGTTTGTTGCATTTGATGAGGAAAATAAAGTTCCTAGTCTTCTACTTCTGTTGTTTCTCTTTCCACGAACTTGCTTAAAAGCAGTCGAACGAAGGGAATGAAACAAATCTTTTGGCGCTGCTCACGTTTTTTTGTTTTGTTTTTGTTTTATTTCTTTGTCCCTTTTTTTTTCTCTCTCCACTGGATTTAGTGGTAAAAATTATGTTGTTGATGCCCTGTTTTTTTTAAAGGATCTTAACCCTTTAACTCCCAAGGTATGATATCAATTTGGAGAATTTGGTATTGGATCAACTAATCCCTAATCGACATTTTACTCTATTCTCGTCACTTCTATGCATGATATTGTATTGATATTGTAAGGAGAAATTCTCTCTTGGTCACTCATGGGAGTTCGTTTGTTTCACTGCAGGGAGCGTGAAGGATGGCAGAGTTAGTTAAAGAGATTAAGTTGGTCAGCGGTGTTAGACTACGTATTCGAATCAACACGAGTGTCGACGGGCATGCATGAGAGGACCAGTTCTTGTCGACCGTGCGCCAATTTCCCGTGCGTTGAGAATTCGCTTCTTCCCCAGCTCGGAGAGATTCATTGTTTAACAGACATTGAGTGACATCTCACACCCTGTTTAAGACTCGATCTCCGGAAAACACAGCCTATGGGCTAAATACACATGCTGCAGTGCTTTCCGATGTATCCACAGCCATCGCACGCAATAAGCGTTCACCTCGAATACATGTCAAATCGTATCGTCGAAATTTCGAGGTGAAATGTCGTGGTCACAGTCACTTTTTAATTTTTTTCCGCAAATTTGCAAGGCTCACGCTGCATGCGAACATTTGAGGTTGTATGCGATAGTTGATAGTAAAATCATACGACACCCAAGTGGACTTTAAGAACAAAGGAAACGTCAAAAATAACTAAACATATTTCATCGACAAGTAACAAAAACAACCTTTTATTTATAACCTCTTCGCACTCAATTTCTCTTTTAAAAAATGTAAGTGATCACATGACAAATCGATGTAAACTGTCCTAAAGAGGGTAGAGCGTGTCGAATTTTTCAACACGCCGACGATGTCTGGGAAAACGAGGAAAACAACTTAGTCTAACCATAACCGAGGGAAATCATTACTTTCTGCTCCTAGATCGTTAGAATTCGTCTTGTGATGTAAACCATTGAGATTACACGCGGGACGACAAAGTTGCCCACAATCGTGACAGAATTAGGAAGGGTAAGGGTAACTGAAACTTCATACTCCCTCCCTTAGGTCATGTTGAAATGGTTTTTTAGAGACATACTGCTAAATAATCAACCAGGACCGAAGGAACCAATTTAGAAATGAAGAGGGGTACACTGGTAGCATGGTGGGTCAGGAACGCGTTTCAAATCAATTTGGCGCATTTTGGAGCACTGATTGGAGAAAAAAAATTGTCACTTCTAAGCAACCTTGAGGCTTGCTCGCTTTTTTTCTTTTTTTTTCCTTTTTTTTGTTTTTTCTGTGGTTATTTCTATTGTTACAGCTTCAGGTCAGGCATTTTTGACCATCCTTTTTGCCAAAAAAGTGCATTGGGGGATGGGGCACAAACTCCCTCGGACCCCTATTCCTACGGAAATGATTTACGCTGTCGCTTTTTTAACTAGCAGGGTTTGGTCATACTGGTCATCCTCTTAGCTTCCTAACTTTTCGAGTCTGGTAAACGGTCTTTTAAAAGCAAAGGGCTCACACTTCGCGTCGCCTTGCGCGCTTGCCTCCGGTCGACTGCAAAACGCTAAAAGATACGCCTCTTCTGCGGGCTAGATTTAAAAGCGCCTTAAATCTAATTTTTATTCGCTTCTCTGCTTCAACGTAGCTGGATTGCGCCGAGACAGCGTTCCCCTTACCCGGTCTGTTCCAAGTTTCTCCTTACTTCAATTATTTTACTACGTATTTTTTTTCTCAGGTTTTTTTTTCCATCCTCAAAAGCCAACACCAAAGCCAAAGTTCGAATTGGAAGTGCCACTTTCTAAAAACTACTTAAATTCCAAATCTTGCATGTCACCTTGTTATAGGCCGGCCCACGAGTTTGACGAAAAGTTCAGTCTTCTGTCACAGACAGCTTATAGTTCAGGCATTAACCCTCTAACTCCTATGAGTGACCAAGAGAGAATTTCTCCTTACAATATCAAGACAATATCAAGAAGATAAGTAAGGAGAATAAAGCAAACTATCAATCAGGGGATCATTGGTTGATCCAAACCTAAATTCTCCTCACTAATATCATAAAAATTGTATGGGAGACAGAAAGGAGAATTACCTATGAGATCTTGGGAGTGGAAGGGTTAACGAATAAGACGGAAGCGCGCGCTATTGAAAGTGATGGGATATGACCAATAAAGGTTGCCAGAAATTTTCTTCATTTTGTTATTGACTTACCCTCCCTTCCAAAGAAATTTCAAATGACTTGCCTCATTTTTGACATTCAAATGCTTCTTTATTGAACTTACGAAATAGGTAAACAACTAAATAGGAGTGACTAAATATATCACTAGGTTTCAGCTTTCTCGCACATTCTGAGCTTCTATTGATGCTTTGTATGATACACAAGTATCAGTAGTGGCAGTAACAACAAAACATTGAAAAAAAAAACTCTTTTTAACCTCTCGTTATACTATTGTGCGAATAGTTTTATCAGCCTATCTAAAATGCATCGTGATGCTTTAACAATAAGCACAATTTATAGCATTCAAACGTAAAAGAAAAATCTGATGAAATATTGTTAAGCGCAAAATTATATCCCGGCCATAAAGGTAAAAATCTGTCATTTTAAGTCCCGGAAAACAATGTTTCTGATACAGAGGAAAAACTTTGATAAGCAATGACTAAGTAAAAATGCTCAAAATGTTTATCACATTCTCCATTTGACATAAACTAAGATATTCGAGCAATCAGACTACGGATTATTCTCAAAGATCTATGGATATGTTTCTAATAGCTTTATATCCTTCATCAGCCAAAAGCCGATCGAGAGAAAAATCTGTACAAAAAATCTTTGGAAATCGTCTTAAAGACGCCTCCACTTTGACGTTAATGTGACGCCCAAATCTTGTCTATAGTTAACAGTTTCATCCATGTTAGACTAAAAAAATATAACTTACTTGAAATATAAATTTCATGAAAATCAGTTTAAGTAAGATATCAAGGATCAAAACACTTGAAAGTCCTTTTCCTTTAGAGTATCCAAAATCCTTCAAGCTCGTAAGAACAGTTCAGACGGGTGACAAGTCAAGTTTTGAAACAATAGATATCGTTAAGGACTCTCGTTGATTTTGTCTTTGGCCATCTGTTGATTCTCCCTGCTTTAAGGAGAAGACTCTTGACAAAGATTTCATCGGTAGCTTATTGGTTTCTGGTCCAAATATCACCGTTGACTTCCGCGGGCTTGATCCTTGACCTGATACAGTTCCAATGCTCACTGCCTCAGCTGAAAAATAGGAGTTAAAATTCAAGAAGGATCGTTGAGTTGTCATAGGATGTTTCCCTTGGCTATGCAAAATAAAATTTACTTTTTTTTCGTTCATATCAAGGTTCTCATCGTAAATGTGTTGCCGCGATTGCATTGCACCTCAATTTGCTCGAGCAACGAAAAATTCCTAATTGCTAAAAGCAAAATAACATAAAACAGCTATAATTTTGATTTAAGTCACTTGGTATTCAATAAATGTAATAAACAGAGTAATTACATTGTTCGAAGTCTGAATTTCCTTGAAATCCAGGCTGACGTCATCACCAATGAGTACAAATGGTGCCCAGTACTGCACCTCCTTGAACATTTCACTTTCTTTCATACACTTCATGGCGTGCTGGAGAGCTTCACTTGCCTTCTTGCCTTTAGAAAGTGCATCGTAGAAGAAACTCATGAACTCCAGGGTTCCCTCGTCATCAATCGCCCATAAGGTTACCACAACAGATCTAGCACCGGCACCCAAAATGCTCGCGCGATGCCGACCACACCCTCGGCCATAACCTCCCCACGAGCGGTGTAACAGCAACTTAGTACAACCAGTCGAGCCCGCAGCCCAGCTTCTAGGACATCTTTCATAGTCATTAGATAGTCTTCCTCTTCTGGCTGAGAGTTTTTCCTGGTAGTGTTTGGTGCCAAGACGACTTCTCCAGTTTCCATTTTACTGTGCGCTGCAATGTGAACTAACGCTACTGATGACATTCGTTTTAACACCTTTTCTTTTGTTGCCATTTCTCCAATGAGAGGGGAATGTTTGAGGATGCGTCCGATCATCTCCACTTCTTTCCTTGCTCCCGGGAGTTGCACCAAAAGTCCTCCCTGATAGATAATATGTTTGAAACATGGGTCGCCAACAAGTAATGCACCACTTTTCATGTGGAATTCAGCTGGGCAATCATGAATTAGTTGCAACGTCGTCAGAGACGGAAGCACACGAATACTGAAAGAATCACTAAGATATGATGACTTCGAGTCCTCCAATGCTGCATAAGATACAAGGCAAAGTGGCCCCTCGGGAACAAAAGTTATCTCGTTGCCTTTGATCAGATCAGCAATAGGGGTAACGATGATGTCATGAAGCTTCTGTAGAGCCCTTGATTGTGAGCACCTCACATCAACTCGGATCACATCGTTGGCAACTTCCTCCTCTTTTGGCGAGCCAGGTGAAGGATTTTCGCATGAAACAGCATCTCTTCTGCCAATCTCCTTAAGGGCAGTTTTGTTCTGTAACTGGATGAAAAATTCCAATTCATCCTCATATTTATAATTGTTCACATGTAATTTTCTCATCTGAATATTATCTTCCGAGAGAAAAAAACCAGAAGTGAACGCACGGTCCATTGAGAGCCATGAAAACTGTATTTGATGGAACAGAACTCAGGGAAAGGCACGAACCACTGTTCCTTAAAATATGATCAGGCCGATATCTTGTGTCCATAAGATCTCTTAGAGCTTGAGCACGTCCTTTTTCTGCGGCAAGAAGAGCGTTCTCAACTCTATCTTGAATGAGACTTGTACGCCACAAACCTTTGTATGCACTTTGGTGCTGATTACGATAAGAAATCTTCCACTGATCGTTGAGTTGAAGACTGGCCGTGATGGCATCATACACCTCTACACTCGAGTTAAAGTATATGAAGGCCCCTCATGAGATCTCCTTGGCACTCGAAACTTATTCCGAGAGAACCGAGTGAGCACGCTTCTCCAGTCATGTCCCCTACTTCTTTGGATATTTCTAGGTTACGTTGATACAACTCGATTGCCCTTTTAAACTTTTTTTGACCGAGAACAATGGTGCCAAGATGGTGATAACTTATTCCCTCTCCAGTCTTGTCTCCCACCTTTTTAGAAATTTCTAGAGAACGGTTCTGGTACTCGATTACTGTTCGGAACTGTCCTAGACCATGATAAGCGTTGCCGAGATTGCCATAACTTCGTCCCTCTCCCGCTTTGTCTCCCACTTCTTTAGCAATTTCTAGATGACGTTGATGGTACTCGATTGCTGTTTGGAACTGTCCTAGACCAACATAAGCATTGCCGAGATTGCCATAACTTCGTCCCTCTCCCGCTTTGTCTCCCACTTCTTTAGCAAATTCTAGATGACGTTGATGGTACTCGATTGCTGTTTGGAACTGTCCTAGACCATGATAAGCGTTGCCGAGATTGCCATAACTTCCTCCCTCTCCCGCTTTGTCTCCCACTTCTTTAGCAATTTCTAGATGACGTTGATGATACTCGATTGCTGTTCGGAACTGTCCTAGACCATGATAAGCGTTGCCGAGATTGCCATAACTTCGTCCCTCTCCCGCTTTGTCTCCCACTTCTTTAGCAATTTCTAGATGACGTTGATGGTACTCTATTGCTGTTTGGAACTGTCCTAGACCAACATAAGCGTTACCGAGATTGCCATAACTTCGTCCCTCTCCCGCTTTGTCTCCCACTTCTTTAGCAATTTCTAAATAACGTTGATGGTACTCGATTGCTGTTTGGAACTGTCCTAGACCATGATAAGCGTTGCCGAGATTGCCATAACTTCGTCCCTCTCCCGCTTTGTCTCCCTCTTCTTTAGCAATTTCTAGATGACGTTGATGGTACTCGACGGCTGTTTGGAACTGTCCTAGACCATGATAAGCGTTGCCGAGATTGCCATAACTTCGTCCCTCTCCCGCTTTGTCTCCCACTTCTTTAGCAATTTCTAGATGACGTTGATGGTACTCGATTGCTGTTTGGAACTGTCCTAGACCATGATAAGCGTTGCCGAGATTGCCATAACTTCGTCCCTCTCCCGCTTTGTCTCCCACTTCTTTAGCAATTTCTAGATGACGTTGATGGTACTCGATTGCTGTTTGGAACTGTCCTAGACCATGATAAGCGTTGCCGAGATTTCCATAACTTCGTGCCTCTCCCGCTTTGTCTCCCTCTTCTTTAGCAATTTCTAGATGACGTTGATGGTACTCGATTGCTGTTTGGAACTGTCCTAGCCCATCATAAGCGTTGCCGAGACTGCCATAACTTCGTCCCTCTCCCACTTTGTCTCCCACTTCTTTAGCAATTTCTAGATGACGTTTATGGTTCTCGATTGCTGTTTGGAACTGTCCTAGACCATCATAAGCGTTGCCGAGATTGCCATAACTTCCTCCCTCTCCTGCTTTGTCTCCCACTTCTTTAGCAATTTCTAGATGACGTTGATGGTACTCGATTGCTGTTTGGAACTGTCCTAGACCATCATAACCGTTGCCGAGATTGCCATAACTTCGTCCCTCTCCCCCTTTGTCTCCCACTTCTTTAGCAATTTCTAGATGACGTTGATGGTACTCGATTGCTGTTTGGAACTGTCCTAGACCATCATAACCGTTGCCGAGACTGCCATAACTTCGTCCCTCTCCCGCTTTGTCTCCCACTTCTTTAGCAATTTCTAGATGACGTTGATGGTACTCGATTGCTGTTTGGAACTGTCCTAGCCCATCATAAGCGTTGCCGAGACTGCCATAACTTCGTCCCTCTCCCACTTTGTCTCCCACTTCTTTAGCAATTTCTAGATGACGTTGATGGTACTCGATTGCTGTTTGGAACTGTCCTAGACCATCATAAGCGTTGCCGAGATTGCCATAACTTCCTCCCTCTCCCGCTTTGTCTCCCACTTCTTTAGCAATTTCTAGATGACGTTGATGGTACTCGATTGCTGTTTGGAACTGTCCTAGACCATGATAAGCGTTGCCGAGATTGCCATAACTTCGTCCCTCTCCCGCTTTGTCTCCCACTTCTTTAGCAATTTCTAGATGACGTTGATGATACTCGATTGCTGTTTGGAACTGTCCTAGACCATGATAAGCGTTGCCGAGATTGCCATAACTTCGTCCCTCTCCCGCTTTGTCTCCCACTTCTTTAGCAATTTCTAGATGACGTTGATGGTACTCGATTGCTGTTTGGAACTGTCCTAGACCATCATAAGCGTTGCCGAGATTGCCATAACTTCGTCCCTCTCCCGCTTTGTCTCCCACTTCTTTAGCAATTTCTAGATGACGTTGATGGTACTCGACCGCTGTTTGGAACTGTCCTAGCCCATCATAAGCGTTACCGAGATTGCCATAACTTCGTCCCTCTCCCGATTTGTCTCCCACTTCTTTAGCAATTTCTAGATGACGTTGATGGTACTCGATTGCTGTTTGGAACTGTCCTAGACCATGATAAGCGTTGCCGAGATTGCCATAACTTCGTCCCTCTGCCGTTTTGTCTCCCACTTCTTTAGCAATTTCTAGATGACGTTGATGGTACTCGATTGCTGTTGGGAACTCTCCTAGACCATCATAAGCGTTGCCGAGACTGCCATAACCTCGTCCCTCTCCCGCTTTGTCTCCCACTTCTTTAGCAATTTCTAGATGACGTTGATGGTACTCGATTGCTGTTCGGAACTGTCCTAAACCATGATAAGCGTTGCCGAGATTGCCATAACTTCGTCCCTCTCCCGCTTTGTCTCCCACTTCTTTAGCAATTTCTAGATGACGTTGATAGTACTCGATTGCTGTTTGGAACTGTCCTAGACCATGATAAGCGTTACCGAGATTGCCATAACTTCGTCCCTCTCCTGCTTTGTCTCCCACTTCTTTAGCAATTTCTAAATAACGTTGATGGTACTCGATTGCTGTTTGGAACTGTCCTAGACCATGATAAGCGTTGCCGAGATTGCCATAACTTCGTCCCTCTCCCGCTTTGTCTCCCACTTCTTTAGCAATTTCTAGATGACGTTGATGGTACTCGATTGCTGTTTGGAACTGTCCTAGACCACGATAAGCGTTGCCGAGACTGCCATAACTTTGTCCCTCTCCCGCTTTGTCTCCCACTTCTCTAGCAATTTCTAGATGACGTTGATGGTACTCGATTGCTGTTTGGAACTGTCCTAGACCATGATAAGCGTTACCGAGATTGCCATAACTTCCTCCCTCTCCCGCTTTGTCTCCCACTTCTTTAGCAATTTCTAGATGACGTTGATGGTACTCGATTGCTGTTTGGAACTGTCCTAGACCATGATAAGCGTTGCCGAGATTGCCATAACTTCGTCCCTCTCCCGCTTTGTCTCCCACTTCTTTAGCAATTTCTAGATGACGTTGATGGTACTCTATTGCTGTTTGGAACTGTCCTAGACCATCATAAGCGTTGCCGAGACTGCCATAACTTCGTCCCTCTCCCGCTTTGTCTCCCACTTCTTTAGCAATTTCTAGATGACGTTGATGGTATTTGATTGCCCTTTTGAACTCTACTAGACCATGATAAATTGTGCCGAGATTGCAATATTTGATCATCATCACGTTTAGTCCATCATTAGATCTGTTCAGTAGATGAAGCAGACCTTTACCATTCTTGTCAATCTTAAAATTTGTCAAGGATACAGATGTCATGATTTTAACAATAATTAGGATATTAGGTAGGACCTTAAACATTGGACGTGGCTGTCTTATAAAGTTTTGCTTCTCAAATTATACGCTTATTCATAAAGTGAATATTAATATAAACCTTAACGAGCTTTCAAAGGTAATTATTTGTTTAGATTCTACCTTTTTTCCTTCTTTTAATTCAGATTTCATGAAATAATAAAAAGAGCTCCTGAGAATAAAATGATTTTCGCTTGTTATAACTGCTAAAGGCGTCACTTAATAATTATACATGGGCGCGCAAATGTGGAATTTTTTTCGAGTGTTCAACTACATAGACACGAGTGAGGTATCGAGTTAACCACGAGAAGAGAAATTCCATATCTTCAAGTAACTATGTATTATTTTCTATTACATGAGTGCAACAGCCCTTTACTGAGGGAAAAGTCGACTTAATTAATAACTAAAAAAAGAA